ACTCCAGTCGCCGGTCTGGACTAGGAGGAGGAGGAGGAGGAGGAGGAGGAGGCGGTTGGAAGGGGGGGCAAAGCTCTTACCCGATACTTCTTCGGATCCTTCCCCATTTCAAAGACGGAAGGGAGCGGCTCAGGGGGGGGAGGAAGGGAAGCAAGGTGGTTCATGTAAAGCTCTGACTGCCTCTGCTCCCTTGCCATCTGCAACTCGTCAAGACACCAACAAGTAGCTCGTCCTCGTCCTCCCCCTCGCAGCAGCAGCAGCAGCAGCAGCAGCAGCATCCTACCTCTGCGTCAAACTTGGGGAAGCAGATTTCCGCGCTGGTTCCGGGCTGGTTTCCGTGAGAGTAAGGAGATGGCAAGGACAGGAGGGAGGAGTGGGGAGGGCAGGAATTCATGGGTGGCGGAGCACGGAGAAGGGGTCAGCAAGGGAGAGGGGGAGGCAGGGCATATTACCTCTGTCAGTGATACCATGGGGTAGACCTGATCTGGCAAATCTCCAAACGCCTTGCCGAGGAATCTGAAGGTGGGTTGAGAGAGGAAGCGATTCGGAAAAGGGGGGGAAGGGAGGAGGGGGCAACGGATGCAAGAAAATCAAAAGGAGAAAACAGCTCGAGGAGGGAATGTTTTTCGATCATTTCAAGGACCTCCCATTCTTGTACAGATTGCAAGTTTTTGTGTCCATGTTTACAAGGACTCCAATCCTGAGAGGGAAGTTCAGGAAGGGAGGAAAAACTCTTCCTTTCTCGCCTCCATCCTGTCCTTCTCCTCCTCACCCCTCCTCACCCCTCCTCACCCCTCCTCACCCCTCCGCCACCCACCCCAACTTCACCACCCCCTTCCTATCTTCTTCTCTTACTCAAACCTGTCTCCATGTCCGTACGCCGAACCTTCAACCCATGGCTTTCTTAATCCTCCTGACCATGTCATGTGCCCTTTGTTCCCGTTACCTGACACACACAAAAGTATCACCCCTCCTCCTCGTCCTCGTCCTCCTCGTCCTCGTCCTCCTCGTCCTCGTCCTCCTCGTCCTCGTCCTCCTCGTCCTCCTCCACATGATCATGATGTTCATCGCCATGATCCAATTCTCTCAAGTGTCACCAAGCACCCTCTCTTGCCATCATCGTCACTTACAGCTATCATGTAATGCCATGAAGTGTTTTCTTCGATCGCCGGATCGATCTGAAGATCGTCATACAAGCTGAGACGATGAAGCTGTATTCGCACCTGTAAGCTCCCAACATCCGTTCCATCGCTTGTTCATGCCTGGACATTGAAAGATTTCAAGTCAGAATCAACATCTTCATCCCCGTCAGTCTGTCTCCCATGTATATCTTTCAGATCATTTCCCAACGCCAACAAGCAACCGACATCACTCGGTCACTCACCGTCAACTAGCCCAATGTAGAATCCGCCGCGAAGAGATTCTCCGTCCTGCGATCATGTCAGCACATCCCAACAAGGCTAAATCTCTTACCTTTGCTCCTTCAGCTTTGGCAATAACCTGATCCGCATCGCAGCGAGCACAATCAAGAGCATGTCACACTTCTACAGCCTACAAGTAGTCGCAAACCTCGAAGAAATGCACTCCCTTGGGTGGGATGGGCCTCTTAGCCCTCACCGTCCCGATGTTCATCGCCTGATTGTTGTATCATGAACCCATCCATCTTTCATCATCATCATCACCATCACCATCACCATCACCGTCACCATCACCATCACCATCACCATCACCATCATCACCATCACCATCACCATCACCATCACCATCACCATCATCATCGTCTTCGTCTTCGTCATCATCATCATCGTCATCATCGTCATCATCTCCATCTACAGCTCCATCATCATTATCTCACATTCGATTGCTCTTCGTTACGGGCAACTACCCTCCTGTTGCTGAACACGTTCGCATGTCACTCAGGGCACAATTTCACGCCATGATTGAAAACTCACATGAGAGACAGAGTTTTCCCCATATTTGTCTTGTCCCACTCTGTCGTGTATCGAGAAGTTTCACCATGGTAAGATCCCAGCTCCCTTCAAAGAGCATTATTCTCACATCATAGATTCACTTGTCACCCTACCACATCGCAACGTCATCCAGGTTGTCATCTCGGATCAAATCCAGCCACCGACTGCGAACTTTGTCATAGAGGTCGTCATGGTTTCCTTGGACATGTAACAATCAAGATCTTCTCCCACAGTGCAAGCACAATGGAGGCTGCGACTTGCCTCTGATAGGGAACGACGGCATAGACCTCTCCGTTGTCGTCCTTCACGACCTCCTTCACCTGACATGATGCGTCACTCAAAGAGATACAAGAGAGCATCTCAATCACTTTGCCGTATTTCTCTTTGTTCTCCAACTCCGCTTGAACCTTCTCCAACAGCTCCTGCAATTTGATGAACAAAATCATTTTCACACGTTTTCATTCGTTCGGGAGAGAACCGCTCTGTTTGTCAGGCTCTCCTGAGTCTGCACCAAGGCCTGTGGAGCAAGCGTGGTAAGACGCTGACTTCACAGCATTTCATCACTCACTGCTGTCTTCTTGGCATCATCCTCTATCGCTATCTGGTCATGTAAGTATTCGAGCTCCGCGCGGACGCTGACCAGAGTCCTGTTGATCGGACAATCTGCATGCGACTGACGGGACTTCTTGCGAGATGAACCATGCTTCATCTTCATCTTCATCTTGAGTAGGTTCCAGACATACCCCTCATCCATCGTCAGATTCTTCTTCTGCACCTTCATCTGCAGCCCACTGATCGTCTCCTCGGGAAAGTAGCCATCGGCATGTCGAGCTAGGACGCTGTCCAGCGAAGGCACGAGTTCAGAAGGTATCTTGGTAACGATGCTCTTTGATTGAGCTGGAGTCAGCGAAACCTGCAACTCCTGCTCATTCGGGGCCCCTCCTGATAGCTGCAGACGGAACGCAGGTTTGATGCAACCCCATGGCGAGAGGCGGTCGAACGAGCGCCAGACGGGCATGTGCGTACAGCTTCCCTCGTCCTTCACCAGCGACAACACGAGCATCGTCCTCAAGACATGATTCATCACGCTGGTCCTCAACATGTCGGAATCGCACGTCAGTCCGGGCAGTCCGGGCAACTCGATTGTGACAGCGAGGTCGAAGAAGCTTTCCCCGGGGTCAAGAGAGGACAACCCACAAGGGGGATCAACATCGAGGGCCGAGCATGACTATGGAGTCATGTTGCGACATGGTATCTTCATCCCCTCTGCCATGATTCCTATCTCTCCATCGCCACCGCGCCATGTCTGTTTCCTTTGTCGCCCTGCCGCCCATGCGTCTCCCCGAGAACGGTTGTACGGTAACGAATATTGTAACCTCTCGTAACGTCAAAGATCTGACGTTACAAACCGTTGATTGAGGAAAGCCGGAGTACCACGGACTGTACCAACCATTCAAAATGAGTACTTTTAATTATTTTAAAAATCGTTCCTCAATACAAATTATATATTATTTTTGTTTCTTTTCTAGCATCATTTGTACGTTTCATAAACAAGTGATTTTTAAAATTGGAGACACGGCTCCGCCTCGGATCGGAGAAACATGGAGCACACCGGAGTACACTCCCCCAGCGCCATGGCGAGGGTGCGCCGGTCGGAGGGGGCAAGGGCAGCAGCAGAGAGCGAGGGAGCGGAGACGGGAGCATCGTGGAGTGCAAGAAGGAGGACACGGGGGATCAGGCATCCATCCTCCGGATCTGCTCGGAGCTCGTGAGTAGTTTGCCACAAGATACACCCTGCAACCCTCCCGAGCAGCGAAAGCAAGGAGGGTCTGAAAGTTGAGATCAGAGCACTCGATGGTGGGAAATCCCTTGTGTATCAGGTCGTATTCAGGTGCAATGGTAGCAAGTGGACGTCAAAAGTCTTCTATTCATGCCGGAAGGTTCTCCGACAGCGCTCATGGGTCGCTACTCGAGCAGATTAAGTCAAGTCAACAGCGCATCTGCTTGTCTCTGCTCTGAAGTTTGACGACGCAGCACAAGAATGATCCTCGACAACCCTCTGCTCTTCTACACACGTATCGATGACGACAGGGAGTGGAAAGACCTTGACGTCAACAGGATATTCCGGCTTCAATGCTTTCGTCATGGCGGCATTGGAAGGAGCGTGAAGACGGTCCAGCGCTTGCTCGAGATCGCGAGGACGAATCAGGGATACAACTTGAATCCTCCTCTCGGTCTCAGAGGAGCAGTCCCTTGGAAGTTTCGAGTGGTCACTGTTCCAATCACACAAGACAAGGAGGAAGAGTTGCGCATTTTTGCCAGCATGAAGCAACTCAGCGACGTCTCGCATGCACATTGCCCGGGGTTGCCTTTCTGGCAGGTAGCAGGCAGCAACAACCTGCTGCATGCCAGGAACGATTTCATCAGCCTTGTAGCTGATCTCAACTACAGTTTGACCGGGGACCGAATCTCGCTGGCTTTCTATGGGGATTTGGAGGTAGAGAAGGCAGAGTTCTCCCGCAGCGTCAAGGAACTACTTCGAGTGATTGCAGATGAAGTGAAGGCTCGTGGTTTGGTCCACTGTGAAATCTCACAGAGTCAACAGAACGGCTGTTCTCTTTCTCCGAATCCTTCCAGGCTCTCAGGACTCGATGGTCAACAGTTCTTTCCTTTGGATGCAGAGGAGTACAATGTGCAATACCTCAACGCCTTCTCTGTGTTGTGGACGGATGTTATGCAACTCGTTGTTTTCATCACCTTGTCTCCAAAGCTTCTGCTTCGCTGTGCACAAGTCTGCAAAGCTTGGTCTGTGTTGGCTTCTCACGACGTTCTGTGGATTGGGCACTTGAACCATCTGAACCAATCGCTTCGGATTCTCGATAAGAACCAACTGCAGGCATCTGTTGGAAAGATCGTGGCAGACGGCCTGGTGACCTACAAGTACCTGTACAAAGTTACATTCCTTGAGGCATTGAGGAGGAAGAGAGAGGAAGGGGATCACTCTTTCAAGGTGTGCTGTGTTGTCTCTGAGCATGTGAATGTCATTAGTTTCCTTTCCAGGACCTCTCAAGTCTTGAGAGGAGGCTCCGTCTCTCCGAGGCAGGGGATCACGACATGCGGCGGCTCATGCTGCGCGGCCTCTACGGCATCACCAATGGATTCCGCAACGGTGCCTTCTCCCCCACCACTTCCAACACCACCACCACCACCACCACCACCTCCTCCTCCAGCTCTCCTGACTCTGAACACTTCATAGGCCTGAAGGACATAGAGGACGGGATCACCTTCGCCGGTGATCGATGGAGGAGGAGTAAGAGGAGGAGGAATGTTTGATCACTTGCAGGTCGAGATATGAGGATGGGGACGATCGGCGGTGCGCTCACAGTAGGGACCATGGCCGCAAAAGTTGGGAACAAGGTTCCGATCGGAGGGCAGGTGACAAGGAACAAGCTCGCACCCTGCTGGATGTGTCTCACTAAGGTGCAGGTGGCGAAAAGAGCGTGTGCTGTTGGAGGAGCCGTCATCGGAGGACTCACCGGGGCCCTCGGCGGATCCATCGCGGGCACCATGTCAGCTGTCAGTCACTGTTGCTGGTGTGCCCAGCCATAAAAGCGCCTGGCAGGTTCCCCGCTTCGTGTCGGGATGCGTCGCCAAACCGCTGCACAGCCTCGCTGACATCCTTGAGGAGACAGCTCATGCCATCAACCATGCTCCCGAGGATATGTTTGGAGAGCTCAGCGACCAGGTGAGGAACTTGGGCCGACGCGTCCCGAAGGTGCATTTCAGGATACTCACCATGTCGACAGAACCAGTCATATGCCTTCACCAACGGCTCAGAGGTGGGCTGGATGCAGGACAAGAACGCCGCTTTCGTCCGAGAGTTGGACTCCGGTCTCAAGCTCTTCTACGCTCATGTTCAGAAAGGCTTCACTGGTCTGTACAAGCATCCGCATCATGGCGCCCAAGCGGAAGGGATCGCGGGCTTTGCAACAGGTCGATCACTGTGCATCCTGGTCCTCCTCTCCTCATCTCCTGCTGTAGGGAGTGGGAGAGCTGTAGCAGGTTGTCTGTGCAGCCCGCTAGCTGGAAGCTTGTTTGTTGGTCAGGTCTGAGTTGCCGTCGACCCTCCTGCTGATTTGCTTCCAGGACGGGCCCTGGCACGAGGAGTGGCTCTGACGCTAGAGGCGCCCCTTGCTCTTCCTGAGGCTGCCGATGAACTGGACTTTGATGAAGTTCATCCGGATCAGGAGGCGAGGACGAGCCTGCATGCCTCTGAAGAGCCGCCAATGCCGGACGCGGCAGGGATGGACGCACTCGACGTGTCAGTGGGCAGTGAGAGGCGACGGAGGATGAGCTGGTCGGTAGGGGACATCGGGCGTGTTGATAGCAGCCATGTGCGAGTGCAGAGAAGATCAAGAAGTTACCCGCCGCCGCTGGCTAGACACTGAGAGGGGCATTGAGGTGCTGTATGGTGAACCTGTGGGAAAGGAAGCAAGTCTTGTAGAATGTTGGTTGCCCTGTTGTTGATAGCGCATGTTTGTTCTGCTCTTCTTCCTGTTCTTCTTCTTGGTCTCCTTGGGTTTTTAAGGATGGGTCGAAGTTTTGCTGTCTTTATGAAGACTTTGTAAAGGATACAAGTACAGAAAACCGTATGCACTCGCCCACCGTTGGCAAGGATGTTGCTACAAAGAAAAGGAACAACCAGCCCGCCTTAGCTTTGTATTCTGGTGCAATCTCTGTAGAAGCAAGATAACCAAGAAGCTCCAGAGTATCAAAAGAAAAGCTTACCCTTCGTGCTGGGCCTTATGTGTGACTTGGGTCGCTCTCGCCCTCAGTACGTGCGCGTAGAACTTGTTTCCACTGCTGATGTGTGTATGATGGGCATGATGGGCATGGCTTTTTGAGCTGTACGACCGTTCGCTATTCCTTCTTCGAAAGAGGTGACCTTGTCTTGCCGATGATGCTTCCATGGACATGCTGCATGCACTTTCGTAACTGTTCCACATGGTCTCTTCGCCCCAGAGCTCGGCCTCTCTCCAGTGCGTGTGATATCCTCCCGCTTCCATATGATCGTGATGGTGAGGCTCGTAACTTGGGAGCGTGCTGCATCTGCGCAATCCCTCTCTGCTATGTGTGCCTCGATGCGCATGCAGATCCCCAGCCGAGCAATGCGCGATCAGGTAGTGGCGGGGATCCACTGGCGAAGGTGGTGGAGTTGGAGTAGAGTCCATCGACCGACGAGGAGTCATCGCATAGGAGGGGGAGCAAGAAGAGGAGGAGTGAGTTGGGGAGAAGTCGCATTGCTGGCAGCAACAGTGGGCGGCGGCATGCACCATGGCGGGCGGTGGGGTGCGATGGATTTCGGACGGGAGGCTTCCTTATCTATATGAGAATACAAAACGGGGGTGGGGCAGAGGGGTTCATTTTTGAGTGGGTAGGGTTATGAAAATTTGGGGGGTAGGGGTATGATGTCAAATACAATTCAAGCTTGCATGAAGGGTATGAAAGGCTGAAATGAGGTGGTGGGGGTGTTCGGATGGCAGGAACAGGAGGAAAGGGGTGGGGTAGGGTTATGTGGGAACAGGGATTGCAGGGGGTCGTTGAAACAATAATCATTTTTGAGGAAAAAAGAGAATTCAGGCGCACCTACCATGAGTATCAGATGTAGGGTAGGGTCAGATCGTCCGTCATTAGCAGTCCGAGGACCGGTGTCTGGAACCTCAAAAAATCCTTGTATCCACGAGGGGTACCATAACTTGGTGGGTAGGGGTCATCGGAGGCTGGGTTCACCGCCTTTCGGAGAAAAGCCGCTTATTGCCATGTGGCAAGATGCGAGGAGTGGGTGGTATGAGCAATAGAGGTGGGGGTTGTAGATTAAGAGGGTGGGGTGAGGAGATCACCCCTCAACATCCCAGGATTTCATTAGAAGGAATGTTCCTGGCGGTGGGCTAGTATGATGGAATTCATGAGGTGGGGTGGCATTATCTGTCATATGGTGGGGTAGTGCATGTACTGCACGAGTCATGTGGACGAAACTACATGATCGTCATGATTAGGACCCTATTGAATTGTACCTCTCTGTGTGTAACCCCACCCAAGTTAAATGGACCCCCCATCAGGCTCCCACACCCCTGTTCACCCACCAGGGTGTATCGGGTACGTGTGCAGAAGGAGTAAAAACAGTGGGTAGACGCAACCCACACCACCCTCGAGTTCTGGATCGACTAGCCACCCCCATGGGGTAGACCCTCCTCGGAACCACCCCCACCCGTTCGAAAGCGCGTATTCGAAGGGCTGAGATTTCGGATGTGACTGCTGCGACACGAAAGAGTTGCTGACAAGGTGACCGGTAACTGCGAGCAGACTGTCTAGGAGGGGTGGGGGTGAAATTCAGGAGATCGGACCGGTGATTAGTGGTGGGGTGACTGTTTCTGGGGTTCCAAACTCAAAAACAGTTTTTGTTTCAAATTGAAGGGATTTCAAACTACCCACCCACCGGTCACGATCCTCCTGTAGAACATCTGTTGATGTAGGGTGGGGGTACCTGGAAGAGGTCAATCACTGAGTAGTTTTAGTAAAGCACCTTTTTACTTTTTCTCCAGTCCATCCCTCTGCCCCCCATCTCCTGCTCCCCAAATCCGACACATCTCCCCCGCCCCATAGCCTGACCAGGATCCCGGGCCTCCGTCTACGCCCTGTGCCTTTTCTCCTCCTTCCCATCTCCATGGCTCTTTCTCTCTATTGTTCTGTCTCCCTCCTCGTGCATTCTCTGACAGCATCTGCTCTCTTTGTTCCATTGCCACCCTGCCTCAGTCTCACTCTATGACTCTTCTATGAGCAGTCTTCCATGTCACTGCAGTGTAAGTCCTGGCAAAAGAGCATTGGGAAACAGAGTGTATGTGACAGTGTTAGCCCACAAAATTGATCGTCTTTTTAGTCTTAGTGCTTTTTCCAGCAAAACTGCCAAGCGTTATAACAATCGATAGTTCCAACTGCATATTGGAACGATGATATAGCTGAATAGATGGCTAGAGGTAAAGTGCTGTTAAGTTTGGAGCAAGATTTTTCAGCACGCTGATATGCAGTTACTCAAATACATCTCATATCCAATCAACCCAACGAGGATCGTGACAGATCGATAGATACTTCTGCAGATTGTGTGCAAACAAGAGATGTTAATCCAGAAGATAGCGTACGCAAGGTTGACCACTAGTTTGTATGTGGCAGAACCATGCGTGTCGATATGTATGATGTAAATCTTGACAAAGATGTTATCGCACTTAGCATGCTTGAATAATCCCGAAAATAACTCTGAGAACGTCCACACATAGAATGAAAGCATGCTTATAAAACAAAGTGACACTGAATGAAGAGAATACCACTGGGCTGTTTTCGGTTTTCAAACCAACTGTACAAAATTGCAACCAAGGTTCGTTGCAAGAAATCTTATGTAAACTACACGAAGAAAATCTGACCATGAGGGAAGAGAAAGTATTCACAGGATTGATCATCCTCCCAATCGCGGTTACCAACCCCATCCAAGAGACATTCCCTGCCCACGATTTCCTGATCCCCAGTCCAGTGAGAAACCAGAAAAGCCGGAAGACGCGTTTGCATCTTCCACTTTTTCTTCTGTTCTGGTTTGGACGTTGCCATTTGCATCTCTCGTCGTAGTTGTAGTCTTGATGATTTTCTTGCCATCACGAATGATCGTAGACGTCTGGAGATGCAGAAAGTCAGTACAGTCTATCGCGGTCGCTCTTTTTTTTTTCACACCTTGACACTTTTTGAAACCCCTCCACGAGAGGAGGAGGTTGATGAGCTGCTAGAGAACGAGCTGCTTGACATGTTGAATCCTCCTGGGCCACCAAAACTCATACTGAAACCCATGCCGTTTCCACCCATCCCCTCTTGCATCCTCCGATGAATGCTTCCAGGATTGTCAAAGAAGGGGTCATCATCAAAAACTGAGAAAACATCACGGCCACCGAAGAACTCAGCAAATATATCGTTTGCGGATCTGAAGTTGTAATTCTGGAAGCCATGTCCCATTCCTCCACGTGATGAAGTGTAGAACCCATTCATTTCTGGCCCGGCACCCCCTCCGTTGAATGCAGCTTTGCCGTACGTATCATATTCACGTCTCTTTGTGGGGTCACTGAGAATCTCATAGGCTTCTGAAACCTTCTTGAACTTGGCCTCAGCTGCATCTCTGTTGTCTGGGTTCTTATCTGGATGGAATTTGAGGGCCATCTTGCGATAAGCCTTTTTGATCTCTTCTGCACTAGCATTTCGGTTCACACCAAGCACCTCATAGTAGTCATCAGAGTTTGGATTCGCCATGGCGTCGAACTAAGCGTCTGCACCCAAACTGATTTGTCAGCGCACGTGAATCACACTCCTGCTGAAACATACGCCAGCACTTAACACACAAGAAACGAATCTGTTCACTCAAAACAAACTCAAAAACGAACCACAAATAACAATCAACAAAATATAGACTTCTTGTTTCCTTGAACCCCCAACACAATGCCATCACTTATCAGAATTATTGTCATTTCTTCAATCTCTCTCCTCGTCTCTTCTCTCTTCCCTTCCATAACCATCCATGCCTCTCAAGCCCAGCCATGAATGTTCGCTCCCCACGTGTCCCTACGTATTTGGGGGTAGGGGTGGTCAAATAGAACTTTCCAAAGAAAATGGTGGACCACTACCCCCGGGCTCATTCACTACCCCTACCCATCATGAATTGCTTTATCACATTGACCCTCATTTTGATAGTGTTTCAATATAGAAATACCCCCTACAATACCATTCTGAGGTAACCCCCACCACCAATTAAGTACACAGGTACCCACCCTTCATGAATTGAATCAGATTGAATCAAATACGATTTGTTTTCAAAAATGACCCCTGTTTCGTCCCATCATAGGAGGGGTACTCGGACAGCCTGAGGTGAGCTCGACTTGATTTGTTCCCGCCCGGACCGCCGGGCCGACCGGATCGGACAAACAGCACTGAAGCTTTAACGGTTTATTAACGGTTGAAGTACGGAGCTATTTCGGTGCGGTGGACATGTTTGAGGTGGTAGCGGCTTCGATGAGGGCGAGGAGGGAGATGCTGGCGGAAGATGGAGAGATCCCTCCTCCTTCTCCTACCTGGATCCCTCCCCTCGGAGCTAGCAGGAGGACCTGGGCCAACGTGTACAAGAACAAGAGCAACATCGACTACTGTGTGGCCGAATTCCACTATCTGTCGAACAGGTGAGCACTTGCTCAGTGCGACGGTGCCTTTTGAATGAACCAGTGTAGTCTGCTGGTGTACGGGAGGGCGGGAGAAAGAGAAGTGGGTGGAAGTGAGGACGAAGAGACCATGTCACAACATGACTCAATGGCGAGATAGGGGTGAGATGGTAGGATAGGGGGAGGCAGGGCTGCGGAGCGAGGTCATGAAGGGATGTGGCCCAAGAAATTGTTGGATGTGTTCTGTTCTATTTCGATGGTGATGTCTGTTTCTCGGAATCGAATATCTTGTTGCAGTGCACAAGCACACATGAGAGTGGGATCGCCCTTGGTTGTGGCTGAGAGAACATGGCAGGATCAAGTGCATAAACTCGCTCACCGGAGGTCCATTCTTGCAGTGAGAGGGATCAAGGATTCATATGGATTCCTGTTGATGCGATCGTGAACGGGCCTCCAACTACGTCAGAGTGGAGCTTGAAACGTCTGTTTAATACTATTTGAAACTGAGATGATGTAATGAAGCACATGTTGCAACGAGACATGGTACTGGGGGGTTCAGTCGCAGCTCAGCATCGGTGGGAAGAAGAGTCTTGGTGAGGGTCATGGTACAAGCACAATCTCGAGGAAGAAAGGGTCCTGCGATGTTCGTTACGATGAGCTCCACCATGGATGCATGCTCTGATACCTTGACAAGGATATGAGGAGGAGTTGACAGCGAGGGATGGAGGTAAGCGGAATTTCAGTCAAGTGCAGATGATGTGGGGGCGCTGAGCATGCTGCTGCTGCTGCTGCTGCTGCTGCGCCACGACCTCCCATGCTAGACGGAGAGACGTCTCGAAGCCCAACGACCACTTGTTGATGTCGAACAGGATCGACCGACCTCTGCTCGCTGCAAGGCGTCTCCTGCTGCGTTCCAGCCATCGTCGTCCTCCCCCTTGTGTATCGTGTCAGTTCGCGTGCACGCACAACTGCACCACGTCCTCCGCCTCCTCCGCCTCCTCTAGCGAACCTCTCTCATCTACTCGCACTCTTGCTCCCCTACTTCCAGTCTTTGCCCCTACGAGCCTAGGGTCCCCTTGGAACATGCTGTTTCGGCTCACCAGATGCCAGCTTGATCGCTAGAGCCTCGTAGTCTCCTCCGTCTCTCACTGTCAAGTGTCTCCCCAGCCCAACAGCATGCAGGACGCTGGCGGCGACTCGACCTGCCATCCTCTCCACAGGGAGGGTCAGGACCGGAATGCCCCCCCAGAGCGCCTCCACGACTGTGCTGTGACCGTTGAAGGGGCGAGAGTCCAGGTAGACGCCAGCTGCGTGCTTGACGCTCGCATGGTCGACCACTCGGATCCTGCTGGTAGCGACGATCCTGTTGACGCCCTCGCTCAGCAGTTGGGGCTGGTGAAAGCCATTCTACGTCACCTCTCCTCTACGCCGAACCCTCGCGCAGCTTCGATGAGGTTGTCGACGCCTGCTCCTGGATGAGAGGAGAAAGGGGCGGGGGACGGGGAAGGGAAGAGCACGAAAAGAGACAGGCAGGCAGGCAGGCAGGCAGGCAGGCAGGCAGACAGACAGACAGGCAGAGGAGAGGGAGAGGAGGGAGGGAGGGGAGGGGAGGGAGGGGAGGGTGGGGAGGGGAGGGAGCGGGGAGTTGCAGGTTGGCGAGGTGTTCGCTACGAGGAGAAGGGTGAGAAAGGAGGGAGAGAGAGGGTGTGGGAAGAAGTGAAGGGAGGGAAGAAAGCAAAGGAGGAGATTGTGTGCGACCGAAAGGAGGCTCCGCGATGATCCAGAGATGGGATTGGTTCACTGCTTGTAAAATTCTGCACCAAGACTTGCATCGACAGGGGGTCAGGGAGGAAGGAAAGGCGGGCAGGAGAGAGAGAACGAGAGAGAGGCGGTGGGGAGGGAGGAAATGCGGAGAGGGAGGAGGCGGAGGGGACGGAGCAGGTGGAGGGAGGAGAAGAGCGGATGCTTGCAACACACCTGCCACAGCCTCACATGCACCTTGCCGAGGTTAGAAAACGCCCCAAAGATGAAACCAGAGCTGGGAAGGACGACGCCATGCTGGTGGAGGACGGAGAGACGAGCTGGGGAACGATGGAGAAGCTCCTCGTGGTTGAGCTCAGAGACATCGGAGTGAGTGAAGGGAGCGAGCTTGTGGTGACCTGCCCCGTAGTAGGTGCCTGAAAAGGAGCCGTCAGTCTCAGGAACCTTCAAGCCGACCCCCGTCGTACCGGGGAGGAGAATCAGGGATTCAGTGAACAGGCCCGACAAGTCCGGCGGGCTTGCGATGCGATCTGAGTGTTGGGTGGAAGGGGGCACATCAGCAAGATGGAGGAAGATAGACAGACAGACAGACAGACAGACAGACAGACAGACAGACAGACAGACAGACAGACAGACAGACAGACAGACAGACAGACAGACAGACAGACAGACAGACAGACAGACAGACAGACAGACAGACAGACAGACAGACAGACAGACAGACAGACAGACAGATAGAGGCAAGGAAGGAAAGCAGAAAGAGATTCAGCGGGAGCGGGAGCTGGAGCAGAGGAGGAGGAGAGGAGGAGGAGGAGGAGGAGTAGAGAAGGAGAGCAGGGTCAAGAACAACCTGAGATGATCCAGGGTACAACATCATGGTCGCCTAATGTGCCAACGAAGTTCTTGAAAGAGATCTGGAGCAGGGAGGAGGTTTAGAGGCCATGCAGCACTTGCGGTGGAATCGACCTGCAGCGGGGCCGGGCGAGACGCGAGGAGGGCGATGCTGCCGCCGTCGTTCCACCCCTGGACGTCGACGAGGACATGAAGACTTTTCCTGTTGAGCAAGGAGGAGGCGGACGACAGCTCGAGGCCGTCGAGGTCGATGAACTCGCCCTGCTGAGAACAGAGAGCTCTCATCGCCTCCCAGCTGCTTCTTGCCATGCTGGTCCTGATGCTGGAAAGGTCGGTCAGAGAGATACACCTGCTCAGTAGAGCGTCATCGCCCCCGTCAGCTCGCCGCAGGCTCGCCTCACAAGGGGAGAACTCTCCTCCGGTCAAGGTGCGAAACGATGGCCAGCAGCTCCCGACCCACCGAGTTGCCTGTGAAGTCTTGCGAGAGGAAACCGACGATGAGGGTGGTCCCAGAGAGCGGCTGAGTGACGTGATGGAGGAGGAGAGGACTCGGCTGGCCTGCCATGGCGGTCAGGACTCGAGGCACTGACGCCGGGGAAAGACCTTGCTGAAGGGTTCGCCATGCTCGCTGCTTCACGGTGGAGAAGTGAAACCTGGACACGAGAGAGAGAATCAGGGGGGGACGAGGAGGGCAGGAAGAGTCTCGGAACCGGGCAAGATCGGCGATCGCAGGCTCGGAGAGAGGATAGAAGAGTGAGAGGAGGGGGGTAACGCAGATGCACTGCTTGATGTCGGCGTGGGTGCCTTGATCCAATCCTGAAGGGCTCGAGAGGAAGCGATCGAGATTCATGGTGAGCAGAGCGCTGAAGCCTCCGAGCAGGACATGATGGCTGCTCAGACCGCCTTGCCTCTTCTCTTCCTCTTGCCAGGAGAAGTCAAGGGAGCACAGCTGGTGCAGGCTGGACACCAAGACGCACAGGAGCGAGAGGGACAAGCTCTTGCTCAAGTCACTTGCTGGCACCTCGGGGCTCGGAAGCCTTTCAGCCCATCCAACTTTGCACGGGTCGAACTGAAAGGATCGTTTGGCTGCTTCCCTCCCGCCTCTTCTCTCCTCCATCTCCCCGTCAAGTCGGCTAAGACAGCAGCGAATGTAGTCCACCGTCTCCTTGAATCGGTACCGTCGGTATAGCTCCTGCGCACGCGCTTCCTGCACCGCATGTCAGCCTCTCCAGCGCGAACTCAGCTGGAGGTACCACAGAATCTCGTCCTCCCGCTGTCCAGTCGCAAGCACATGCGCCCTGTGAGACGTTCCCTCCTGACTGCGACTTGACAACTTCCTGCCAGATCCTCGGCAAGGAGGATGGAGCGATCGTCTCCGTCCTTGCCCTCGGCCTCATCGGAGTTGACCTCCTGTCAACCTGATCGCTCGAATACATCTTAACAGTCTCCTGCTCCACCGACTTGCTGGCTTCATGCGCGTAACATGCTGACAACCTCTCTCCTGCTGCTCCTGCTGCTCCTGCTGCTCCTGCTGCTCCTGCTGCTCCTGCTGCTCCTGCTGCTCCTGCTGCTCCTCCTGCTCCTCCATGCTCTCCCCTCTGTCTTCTAGGTCCTGTAGCCATCATCAGGTTACATTTGGCGTCGGTGAGCGAAGGATGCAGGCGCAGAGCTGCTCGGTAGCTCCGAGCGGCGTCTGCCGTGCTGTTTGCAGCCCAACAGTCAAGGCAAAGTCTACCAGGACATGTTTGTTCTCACCGATTCATCATCATCAAGGTATTCCCCGCATTGAGGAACGTGGCGGCGTTACAGGGCCTGGAGGTAAGCGCGTCCCCGTAGAGCTCCATCGCTCTCGACAGATCTCCGTGCACTACGAGGTGGTTGGCATACAAGAAGCTCGTCCTCCATCGTCCTCCTCTGCCACACTGACGTGAGAGGAAAGTTGGTTGTGGGGGATGGAGCAGGGGCAGCAGGAGCAGCAGGGGCAAGGGCCAGAAGAAGAAGAAGAGCAGCAGGGGCAGGGGCAAGAGAAGAAGGAGCAGAAGAAGAAGAAGAGCAGCAGGGGCAGGGGCAAGAGAAGAAGGAGCAGCAGCTGCTGCTGCAGTAGCAGAGAGGAGGAGGAGGAGGAGGAGGAGGAGGAC